TCTGGGTCGCCACTTCTTCCTGTACGGTGACTTGTGGGGTAACAGATCACCCGTCGCAGACCCAAACATGAAGGGTGCCGTGGTTGGCTTGAGCAGCGACAAGACCACGGACAACCTGGCCTTGTGGTACTACGGCACGATGGAGTTCATCGCCATGCAGACTCGACAGATTGTTGAGGCGATGAACACGTCCGGACACGAGCTTAACACGATCTTTATGTCCGGCAGTCAGTGCCAGAACCCACTGCTGATGGACCTGATGGCCACCATCTGCGACATGCCTGTGTTGGTACCCAAGTACACCAACGCGGCCGTTGTCCACGGTGCCGCCATGCTTGGTGCCAAAGCGGCGACCGCGACTGAGGATGGCACAACGGAGAATCTGTGGTCCATCATGGATCGCATGAGCAAGCCTGGCCGCCTCGTCAAGCCCGGTACCCTTAAGGGCGAGAAGTTCTTATTCGATGCCAAGTACAAGGTGTTCTTGGAGCAGTGCAAGACCCAGCAGGAGTACAGAAAGCAGGTTGATGCTGCCGTCGACCAGTGGCTCAACAACTAAGCATCTCGGGGATGGACTTTGTGGCGTGAGACGATTAGACGACCTAGGGAATTAGGCCAAGGGGCATTGACGGTCTACAGTAACGGGACTTGGTTTTTCACTGGATGGGCTGTATCAGGAGTTGAAGGGTTAATGAAAATGGTCATTCTTTCATGAGGAAACAAAAAACAATACATTGTTAATACGACGAATTCGTATCCTGCATCAACCCATTTCATGTAGCGATTGAACCGGCGCAATTCTGCCGATGCGGCCATCTGCAAGGTAAGAATTCGCATACCTTCGGCAACAGTCGATGGCGCCCCGCTGGAGGGGTTTCGTAGCTGCAAAGCTGCATCTGTAGCGAACACACGTGCCTCTGAGTGCAGCTGTTGATAGGACAATGGCTGCCGCGCTACGTAACGGGACTGTGGAACTTTGCGGTGCTGGGACGGGAAAGTGGTGGGGCCGCGCGAGAAACACAGACCAAGCTTCGCCTTCTTGCAGGTGCCAAACCCCATCGTCTGCAACTGTCATCCGCGACCATACCTCTTTATCTCTGGTTAGACTGGTGATTGTTTCCACTTCTGTACTTGAACTAGACGACAGGAACTCGCTCGACGGAAAGAGTAGGAAGGATTAGGACTAAGGCAAGGAAGCGAAGGACGAGCTTTTATGTTCGACATCCCCTGTCGCGTGCCAGCCACATCAACCAGCGTTGCCTCGTTACACCCGAACCCGAAGCTTGTTTTTTTCTACTCACGACCTCCCCCTTCGACCAACTCAATCGAGACTTTCCACGGCCAGACTTGTCAGAACATACCTCTATCATCCTCGGCCACTCCAGTCATTATCAACTCACGACATTCCGTATCGAAGCGACTGGAGCGACGCTCCCGCAAATACACACCTCGATCCCTATTTACCACCGACCGTCACAATGCGCTTCGGAAAGACGCTTCGGCTGGCCGTGTACGCGCCGTGGAAGGACAAGTACATCGATTACGCGAAACTCAAGTCGCTGCTGCGAGAAGATAAGTACGACGACGAAGATGTTGCGTGGACCGAGGAGGACGAGAGTCGTTTCTGCGACGAGATCTTCAACGGCCAACTCGAGAAGGTCGCCGCGTTTCAGGAGAAGACCTTCAAAGCCCTGAAAGACCGCATCGAAGCCGCGTTCGAGAAGCTCAAGGAATTGGCCCCGCCGATCAGTGAGGAGGATGAGGGGGCGGACAACGACCAAATCAAGAAGCCCGACGCCGCGACGGCGCAGAAGCTGAAGGATATTGAGACGGAGCTCGATAAGATCACGACCGAAATCTCGGAGCTGAAGAAGTACAGCAACATCAACTATACTGGCTTCCTCAAGATTGTCAAGAAGCATGACCGCAAGAGGGGCGATAGGTACAAGGTGCGACCGATGATGCAGCTGAGCCTTGCGAAACGACCCTTCAACTCGGAGCAGGGGTACTCTCCCTTGCTCAATAAGCTGTCCATCATGTACTATGCCATTCGGCAGCAGTTGGACGATGGTGCCGGCGACGCACAGCCGCTGGATCTCGAGAGCCAGGGAGAGACGCGGCACGGCGAGCGATACACTGCCCACAAGTTCTGGGTCCACCCGGATAACCTGCTGGAGGTCAAGACGTATATTATGAGACGTCTGCCGGCCCTTGTCTACAGTGAGCAGTCAGCCAAGGAGCTGGATGGAAGCAACGACCCGACCATCACCTCTCTTTACTTTGATAACTCAAAGTTCGATTTGTACGGGAAGAAGGTGGAGCGCAAGGCGGAGGCGTCTTCGCTGCGCGTGCGTTGGTACGGTCAGTTGAGCGCAAAGCCTGAGTTGTTCATCGAACAGAAGATTGTCGGAGAGCAAGGATCTAGCGAGGAGCGTAAATTTCCCATCAAGGACAAGTACATCAAGCCCTTCATCGACGGCACCTACAAGATGGAGAAGACGGTGGAGAAGATGGAGCGTCAGGGCCAGCAGGCGGAGGTGGTGGAGAACTTCAAGAGCACCGTCGAGTCCCTCCAGGGTTTCATGCAGGAGAACAAGCTACAGCCCGTCTTGCGCGCAAACTATGTTCGTACAGCTTTCCAGAAGCCCGCGGACGACCGCGTGCGCATCTCCATCGACACAGAGGTGGCCTTCATCCGCGAGGACACGCTAGATAGAGACAGACCCTGCCGCGACCCGACAGAATGGCACCGTCTCGACATTGACGGCCGGAACCTGACATACCCGTTCAAGGATATAAACCAGAGCGAGGTCTCACGTTTCCCCTACGCCATATTGGAGATTAAGCTGAGAGAGGACCCCAACCGCAAGCGTCCTGCGTGGATCACGGATCTGATGGCATCTCACTTGGTACACCCTACGCCCCGCTTCTCCAAGTTTGTCCACGGCATCGCCTCCTTGTTCGAGGACTTTGTCAACAACCTGCCCTTCTGGTTGAGCGACCTGGAGGCAGACATCCGCAAGGACCCGCAGGTGGCTTTTGAGGCCGAGGAGCAGCGCAAGGCACAGAGAGCCGAGGACGAACAGGCCGTCGGCAGCTTTTTGGGCAATAAGGTGAGCTCTTATAAGATATCCAAGAGCTCGCCGGCCGGCCAGTCGTACCTCGCCAACAGGATGGCCGCCGAGAGCTCGCGTTCCCAGCCGAGACCCGTCAACGACGAGTCCCAGCAGTCGTCAAGCCGCCAGAACGGCGAGAGCTCCAACGGCCAGAGGAGTTACGGAACGCTGTCGTCCGTGCTCCCCGGCTTCTCTCTGTCCAAGTACTCGCAGGCGCGGAGAGCACAGAAGAACCAGCAACAGCTGCCTGAGGGCGTCGTTGAGCCGACAGAGTGGATCAAGAACTCCGGCGAGCTCAAGATTGAGCCCAAGGTGTGGCTGGCCAACGAGCGCACGTTCCTCAAGTGGCAGCACATCTGCATCTTGCTCGGCGCGCTCGCGGTGTCGCTGTACACGGCCGCCGGAGAGAACTTCCTGGCCGAGGTCATGGGTGTCGTGTATATCTGCATTGCCGTGTTCGCGGGTGTCTGGGGCTACGGTATGATGAGGCTGCGGAGGAAAATGATTATCGGCCGCAGCGGCAAGGACTTCGACAACCTTGTCGGGCCGTTGATTATCAGCATCGCGTTGATGGCTGCGCTGGTGATCAACTTTGTGCTTGCCGTAAGTTCTACCTTTCGCTGAGATCCCTGAAAGGGTGGGAGTCCAAATAACTAACCTGAGATGATAGTTCCGCGGCGCTCTTGAGAGGATGGAGGCAGCCAAGGAGGTGCTCAACATTGGTAATGCCACTGGCGAGCCTATCCGACAGGAGCTCATCTAAGGGTTGGTGGAGTGAAGTAAAGTAAGAAAAAAGCGTTGACTGACGGAGTACTCGCGAGTGCCCACTTCTCTTTGTAAGCTGTGGTTGTTTGCGTTTGCATGGTTTGATTCGTGTGCTGCATTTGGATCGGTGCTCTTCCGTTTTTATTTGGTACTGGTCATGATACCAGTCGACCCGAAGGTAGAAGAAGCGTTGTTGTACAAGATAAACCATGGCGTGATAATCGATATTCTGTGTGTATGTTTGTGTCTCGGATGACTTTGGCATGGAGTGAAGTGAGATGCTGTCGAGGGTATTCCTGAAATCGGTATGTTGTACACGCTTCCCTTCTCGCTTGCGTATATGACGTTAGAAGACAACGTTTAGAGCTGTCTTGCCGCCTAGAAGCTATCTTGCATATGCTAGTTAGCTGCCTAGGATGCCTAGCTTCCGCAATCAGATATCAGAAAGTGGCTGTCTGTGAGAAGGACCGTATTGTTGTCAAAGGCTGTGAGATGTCTTCAGCGATGTCTAGGAGGGCCGCCGGCGAAGTGACCGCACCTTTGAGTCCTCTCGCAATCCTCACATCGTGAGGTGCCAGTTTGATCCATATTGAGTGAGTGTCTTCGCCCTGATACGATACATTCGGCCTAGGTGTCATCGTGCTTGTTGAAGTCCTTATTCTCGCGAGACTTGAGCCTACGAATAGCAGAGTACAGCAGTGGAAGATCTTAAACTTGTAGTCGAAAGCTTAACAGATGCCACTACCCGAACGCTGTTAAACCAAATATGCCCGCGTGCTCCTCATCATTGATGCACTAGTATTTAATCCTTAAGAGCCCGGATACTCCGCAGCCCTCCTTTCTGCAGGAATCCCTCGCCGTAGTGCTTCTGATGCCAACTTTATTGAGCTCGAGGTGGAAAGACACGCAGCCCATTGGGGGGATCTAGCGCGGGACCTGATAAGTCGTCATTTCCGCCATACCGGCAAGGACGGTAAGGAAAGAACACAATGCCTTCTTCTACCTTGTTTGGCAGTGGGTAATTATTCCGGTGGATGGAACACTCTTAGAACGGAGAGCAAGAGTGTAATGTGGCATTATGTTGGGAACACATAATTTGCCTATCCGAAGGTACGATTTCACACACAATCATGGGGGCTCTAGTAAAACCACAGCTCACAAAGGTCCAGATCCATAATCTCGAGATTGAGGTCTCAGAACTGAAGAACGGACAAGGCTCTGAAACCTTTGTAGCGTGCATACTCCTCAGACCTCAACGCCCCCAAGGCTTCTTCATTTTATCTTAACGAGGAATTGAAGGTAAGAAGAGCCCCCTCCCATCCTCCCCGGACTTGTTCGTCTACCGTAGTCGCCCTCTACTTGTTTCTCCGCCCCCCTCCGCCCATATTCCGCCCCGAACGCTGCCTCCGTCCAGCCCTAACCCCACACCATCGGCCCTGTCTTCGTCAGGAAACTTATACTACTGCCTCTTCTTCTTCTTCTTCTTCTTCTTCTTCTTCTTCTTCTTCTTCTTCTTCTTCTTCTTCTTCTTCTTCTTCTTCTTCTTCTTCTTCTTCTTCTTCTTCTGCTGCTGCAGCTTCAGCGGGGCTGGCTGTACGAGTTGAACGTGGGGCCGACATAAATTAGTGGAGGAGACAGCTGAGGCATATGTTGCGCTTGTAGCGTGAGCATGTGGTCGATTTATGCTTCGGGCCCCAAATTCCTCTGTGGTTGAACTAGCCGCATTATAGATTCCCTGGCGGCATCCACCTGGCGTTGCTTATTCTGGGTCATCAAGTGCCTCAACAACTGATTGTCTGTGAGACTCGCAAAATTGGAGTTCGTTGCGAGAGTGTTCGAGAGGTCCTGCTTCGTCACTCGAGTCGTCTGACCGGGACTAGAAGGTATAGACAGTGGTGTTGTAGGATACTCGTAGCCGGCATCGAAACAGTTGGCCGAGTGGTCAGACGAGTGTGAGAGCGGAGGAGTCTGCTGCTGCGGAGTCTGGGGTGCCTGCTGGGGTGCAGCGGGTGTAGGCGCAGCCGCTAGGGAAGGCGCAGACGTTCTTAGACCATTGTAGCCCGAAGATTCTGGAGGGCTCTGCTAAAAAGAAGAAGAAAAATTGTGATTAGTTTGGGAACTTGATTTCTTGCACATTTTGCTGTTCTTGTCGACTTGGCTTGGGATTTGTTAATGGTCTTGTAGACGCTTGACTCACCTGATACAGTTCTGATATAATCTGCTGAGGTAGCGATGGTTGTGGGGGTGGGGGATGACATCTTCTATGGTGGTCTCTGAGATGTCTTGGAGAGAGAAACCCAACATCGTTATAGAAGCAGTCTTGTTTGAAGCATCGTAGTTTCTGGTGATGTCTCGTTGACTGGTTCATTAGTTGTGAGGCTGAAGAGTACTCAACTACAGCTTTATCGCATCCATAGACGGAACACACAAATGAGGACGGCCCATATTCTTCTTTGAAAGCGGTGAAGTCCTCGGAAGAAGCGTTGGACAATTTATCTCTCTTAAGAGGTCTACGACGTAGGTATAATAAATTCTTCTGACAGACGATAGCAATATGGCATCCTTAGGGTAGGGCGAGTCTCTGCGCAATAGCAATCACCAATTAGCAAATCTGCGTCGTGTCACATAACACTGGACAGAAGAATCAAGTTAGAACCGTATCATCCGATTTCTTTGTCGTTTTGCGCAACTCGAGGGCTTCTTGGACTAGTGCTTTCATTGAGGGAAGGCTTTCGAGCCAATGCAAACGAGGGTCAAGGCTTCCTGCATTGGAGATCCGCGTGTCGTCTTCTTCCTCAAGATCGAACCAACGGGATAGCTCAATGACTTCTTCTCGAATGCTCGAAGGATCGGGTGTGCAAAGTCCTTGACTAAGCTCAAGGCACCCCAGTAGGTGCTCAATCCAGTACTCAGATGCATAGGGAAGAAGCCCATAGAACCCTTGTGCAACGCAGTAAAGATGCTGCGCGCGTTCCAAGGCTTCGTCGGCCAAAGTCAAGCTCTGTGTCAACTGTGCAATACAAGCAGTTGTGATGTCTCGGCAAGAATCTCTCTTACTGATGAACGGCCCACTAGACTGGGCTTGAAGAAATCTGATATCTGACGTCAACCAACCTCTCTATGTTAAAGTAGTTTACCTGAGGTACTTACTTGGGCACAGTGCCGTGGACGAACACCATGGTTGCACCTGGACCATCCTCAATGAATGGTTTGCAAAGACCCAATACATTCGGAAACGGCTTCGTCCTATCATTGACTATAGTTAAATCGGCATAGAGTACTCGACCTAGCCGTAATTCAAACTTCCTCATAAGCTGGCCGCCCTTTAAAAACACCATCCAGCCAAATATTCGTCATAACTTCGACATATCCATCGCTTAACAACGACTCATAATACTTGTGAGAATCTTATAATATCTAGGTATAATCGGCCATAATACAAAAGATCGGGAAGTTTATAGCAATTACGCCTCTTCAAGGTCTTTCAGAAAGGCCTCCACCCTCATTATAGGCTCCTGGATATTATCAGTAGTCTCCAACACCTATAATACTAGGTAAACCCAAAAGAACATCCCAATATTCCCGTTAGTTCTCCATCTTCCTTTCGCTTTGAACAAGAGCCCCCAAACCTTCTGCTCTTTTGAGGGTTATTTCCCGGATCTCAGTGAGGACTATTTCGGGACGCAGCCATTCAGTTCCTCATTAATAGCTTCTAGGTGACTTAGAACAATCAAGCCGACATCCTTACAAACAGATAAAGACTACTTTCCAATTATTAGTTTTGGTCTTCCCTTCAAGTTTCTCGCTATACTTAGAATATCCTAGCTAAATACGAACAATCTAAAATTGTTTTATATCTCCGCCAACTTCGTCAGGGTCTTGATTAATTCTCCGTATTCCGACGACCCAATCTCATCGATACCATCGATAACCAGGCGCAGGTCCTCGAAAAAGTTGAACAGCTTTGAGATAATCTCTTACAAAAATGATGACGAAGGTATTTTCCCAGAAATAACACACTCTTTATGCATGAACGAGGCCGTCTCCGGGACAAGGTCCAGAATCTGGACACATATACTTCGCAGAACCTGTAGATCAGGCCCCAGTTACGGGTATCCATCTGATTCTAGATAACGAATGGCAACTAGTTTCTTCATCCCGCCCCGGTTTTCGCGCAGCTTTGGACTCATGCGGTCGTGAGTTGCTTGAGTTATTCCACCGCGAAGGTATCAGCATCGATATTTTGGGACTACCAGCTGATCAAGAGGCTATCGATGATGATTCTGGCATACAACTTTGAGCAACGATATATAGGCCACGGAAACTGGCCCAAGAGTCGGTAGTACGCTTCAAAATGCCGAGCTTTATCTCCAAGATCCCACTTTCTCTCTCACAGACGTCAAATACTTCAATCCGTAACGCTTTACTAATACAAAGGGAAGTCGAACTATCGACTTCTGACTTATTCACTCCGATAGGAGCGAAGTCTTATCTAACAAGGAAGAGACACTAGTGGCCATAGATGTACTAAAGAGCGTCACTTCAACAACTGTGCGGCATGAGATGAGCGGCTCATATTACCTTCAGAAAAATCTGCAAAGATGAGAACATATACCTAGCAGCCTTTGAACGGGGCAATACTCAACTCAGCTAAATAAGTCACCAGACGCAAGGCATGACGTTTATGCTTGAACGGGAAAGTGGCTGGCGGTTAGATGAACCTGATGGAGATGTGTGTCCCGGCACATCGAAGAGCTTGGGCGAACAACGTAAGACTGCTATCTATCGTTCATTATTATTTAGCTGACTGTCTAGATATATCAACAACGTCAACTCGTCGTTTCGCTGCACACCCCCTACTCCTTTTCGAGGCGGGATTCTTGCCGATCTTACGGGTCTGGGCAAGACCCTTAGTATGATATCACTTATTGCCCATGATAAGCTTTCTGAGAGTGGATCGCAATTCAATAGACAAGATACGAACTCGTTAGGTTCTGGTGAGACACTTGTTGAAGTGCCTCTCTCACGTATGTCTTTGAATGTGTGGGATCCTGCCTGAGTGTAACTGACGGTTTTATGTTTTAGTTCTCGACAACTGGGAGATGGAATTGTGCAAGTACGTGGCCCTACAGACCGCGCGTCTGGTAGATTTGATAAAATAAGAAACTTTTATAGACACCTTTCTGGGAATCACTTCAACTGGCGTCGTCATCACGCACAAAACCAACTGCGAGACATGTGTCACTTGAGCACGAGTGACATCATCCTCACGACCTATACGACACTTGCGAAGGAGTGGAAAGCTCATGTAAAAGCCAACGCAAGCCCAGTTTTCTCACATCAGTGGCATCGCATCATTTTGGACGAAGGTATGCGTCCTCGATTGTCATGCTAATAGTGCGAGCTGACTTTTGGACATAGCACATGAGATCAAGGACCTCAAAACAGCAAAAGCCCAAGCCATATGTGAGCTAAGAGGTGACTGTAAGTGGGTGGTCACCGGAACACCAATCCAGAATCGGCTTTCCGAGCTCCACAGCTTACTTTACTTCCTTGGGGTGTATCCGTATGATGACAAGAAAGCCTTCGACAGGGACATAACGAACGCCTAGCTTGGTGGAGAAGAGACCGGATCAGAAGCGTTGAGGAAAGTTCTAAGCTATGTTATGTTGAGACGTTCGCAAGACGCGATAGCCTTACCACAACGACGAGATCACCGGCGGCACCTTCATCTCAGCCCCCAGGAGCAAAGTATGTACGACATTGTCAAAACCAAAATCATTGAATTTCTCGACAATGCGCTAGCATCTTCCAGAGGAAAAGACAGCTACAGTAACGCATTAGAGAAGATTAATGCTCTGGGGCTTGTCTGCGAATTGGGATGCTTTCAGAAGTTGAACCTTCAACAGACCCCTGGGAAGCCTGCGTCTTCTACGAGACTCCTGCCAAGAACACCAGATCGACAGTCAACTCCGCTTACACCCGGAGGAGAAACAGAGGAGGACGATGATAATCAATATGGCGCCATTGCCGAAGAAATCGACAACTTCTGTCCGCCTCTGACCAGGCTTGGGTCTAACTGGACTCAAGAGCCAAGCGGCATGCTCTGTGGCGCCATGCCCACAGATCAATGGCCGACCAAGATCAGAACTCTTGTCGACGATATCAAAGGCTGCATTCCAGGAACAAAAAGGTTGCACCGAGGTCCCTTCCAACCCGGATAATGTAGCTGACGAGTCCAGTGTGGTTGTTTTCGTACCGAACATCCATTCTTGATGTCGCTGAACTAGCTCTCAACGACGCCGGAATATACTGCGCCAAGGTTGATGGAAAGAAAAAGTTAAGCAAGAGGAGTCGTATCATTGACGACTTCTCAAAGGCTGATGTGGTGTCCGTACTTTTGTTGTCATTGGGTTGCGGCGCCGTCGGGTATGTCACGCCCGTTCGCTGGCGCTGAGCCGTGTCAGCATCAAGCAATATCTAACTCTAATATCCTCTTACTAGTTTGACGCTCACTGCTGCTTCGAGAGCATATCTACTTGAGCCACAATGGAATCCGTCTATCGGGGAACATGCCCTGGCGAGAATCCACAGAATAAGACAAACTCAAGAGGTCACGACTGTTCGATTTGTGATCAGCAACTCCATTGAACAGGTCTGTGATGCTGAATTCCGTGGTGGAAAGGTACTGACAGACGTGGTCATAGTATGTCTTTGATATCCAAAATGGGAAGCGGGACCTCATGAGTCAGTCTCCTGAGCGCAAAGCCTGCCACAAGTCGTCAATTGACAGCCAAACTACAGGTAAATCAGACAAATTTTCTCTACGCGCAATTTATCATCTGACGGATTTCGAAGCAATTGCGTCAGCTTCTAAGATAGACGATTTGCTAGACAGCGAGTCACATCCAGACTGTGTTGGTCGGGGCCACAGTACTAATCAGAATCTGGTATTGGTCTATTGGCTCCTTCGAGCTCAGGTAACAGCATGATATGTACTGAGGTGGTCTTCTAAGCAAGGAACTAACTGCTAGAAAGCACTTGAGGTTATTGCGGAACGAACTTGGACTCTTCAAAACTCTCGTCAAACCACCGCGGACAAGAGACTTTCTTTTATGTTTATGAAGTTAGCAGCGATGCAGCCTGGATCCCGCAATATAGAGGAAGGGCGTCGTAGCTTCTAAAGCGGTATGGACTAATCCACTTCAATCATCAAAAGTTCAAATCTAGGCAGTAGCAAGGATTGGTATGTATGCCGATGCTATGAAATAGCTCATAATACCAGCCAGTACCGGAGTGTAAAGGAGGCGACCCTCATCCATAATGTCACTCTTCAGAACGATTCTCACCATCAGAACAAAAAGACCAAAAAATAAGAACTAGAAATGGATGGAGGGGGGATACTGACCTTAGTCTAAACCAGCACTGGCCTCATTGGAGTATTTGTTTTAATGTCGACTCTGCGTCAGAGTCGAAACCACTCGGCCAAATCGACCGGGGGTGCTGGTGACAGGAACAGTGAATAGGCGCCTTGAGTAGTAGGGTGGTAGCCTTGCAGGTTGTTTAGATGAAGAAGGGCAGGAAGGAGTGGCGTAGATATAAGAAGATGTGCTTGCCTAACGGGGACTGGCGGCGTTGAGATGGAAGGCACTCACTTGATCGCACCTGGGTAGTATGCGGTTCTACCTAAGGAGCTCCGCTCTGGATGATTCATCCGGTGGTGGTACGAAGGGAGTCTATTATACTTGGAAAGATTCAAGGAGACATTACCCACACGAGGCTTGGAGATGGCATCGACTTTAACAGACCTGTGGACCTGACCCCCTCGGCATTTCTACATAGTATCTCGCCTTTCAACGCTTCTTTCGTCGATGGTCTTGTCTTATGTTTTCGATTCTACCAGGAGTGGAGAGCTGTCGATCAGACCAACATTTGATTGTCAATCGGATGGCATCTGAGCGACCACCGGTGTATGAACCCGTGCAGATGACACAGTCGAGAGATGGAGGTGAACTGGGATTGATACAACTAGTGGTTTTGTGGTTGGATAAGTATAGCAAATGATTGCCGCTAACTTTTTTGTTCGGTACTAAACAATGAATATGCCTGGGAGGTGATGATATGATAGCCAAAAGACAGATGGAGGATCGACTTTAGTGCTGGGGGTGGCCGTTCACGAAAGCAAGTATGCAGGGCTGATCGGTTTGTTTTCATTTCAGTATACCATATCCAAGCTTGTACTCCCAACTTTTTTATCAGGTTGAGCTCAAGGTTAAGGAATTAGCCATCGTCTTCTCCCCCAGACATTGCGATAGACAGCCATGAGAGAGTCACTGTACATCCTCCAACCCACCATGCAGAAGTAGACGGTCTTGTGAGTAGAGATAAAGAGGACTCGGTAACACAATCTGGACAAGTGATTCATAGATCCGGCTCCCTCACGGTCGTCAGGAAGTTACTTTGTCCTAGGTAAGGACGAATGACAAAGATTGGAAGACGTATTCGAGGCAAGAGCGACGAAGTACCTATGTGGCCTAGCGTGCCTCTAACCCGCTCCTTCCCATACCTTTCATACCTGCTTGCCTCACTTGCACCTTCCATACCTGCCGCGAGAGGCTTTTGTATACCCCCTTAACTCTATTCTTGTCACCAGCCAGCAGGCGCCCCTTTGGGGGTCAGGTCAAAACTGGCTGGTTGGTGGAGTGCTTCAAGTCCGCGAACAGCCTAATCGATGAAGGCTTAGAGGTCCCGTGTTCGAGTCCCAGCAAGTGCGCCCAGAGATGTAGCCCCCATTCACCATCGGGGGGGAAGGGGGGGGGGGTGAACTCTTTTGTTTTTTTGCTCTCAGGTCAGGTAGAGAGGCGCGTGTTATGTATACTACCAAGCCAGACTATTGACACCAACGCGATCAGCCGTCAGTCGAGAAAGATTGAATACTTTATCCGATCTAAGAATAATACTATAGAGCATCGATATCCCCTTGTAGTCTAAGACCAGACATTGGAAGTCTACGAGTAGACAGGCAGAAGCAGTAGCAGCAACATTGGAGAGAGCCGCTCGTGCTCTTCGCAGCGACTAGTAGACTCGTCGTCACCTGAACCCAGCTGTCACTTTTTGCAAAAAGTTTCCCGGTCGACGAATTACGGAGAAAACGCTGCCGCTGCCGCAGAAGCATCACCCGGGCGCCATTTCCCCGTCTACTTCGCCGGACGCCATTTGGTCCGTCAATACGGTTCGGCTGAAAATATCAAAGGCAAACCGACGAATAAGAACACGAGAATGGCGCGAGCGTAATTACAGTACTGATACAATCGGAATATACTGCTAAAGAGCATCATACCCTCTGCACACTGGTCCATACAAAATACAAATCACGCATCCAGAAGATTAAGCAGGATCCTTCACTTCTTCTAGCTGACGCTTCCAGCCAAGGTATTCTCCAGTCGCGTGTAGTCGATATCGAAAGCTGTGATATGCTATGGCCCAGTGCATGAATGTGATAGCAGGTGGTCACAAGGTGGGTCCGGAGCGGAACAGACTCCGGGATAGCTCACGGCATGCGGAAAGGGAAATGGCATCGCCGGCAATAGTCTGTGAGTTCAAAGGATGGGCGCCAGAATTCACGAGTTTGGCATGTTGAGGTAGCTTTCTGATCATCTAGGAAAGTTCAGGGTCCAAGAGTCTGCCCAGTGCTTAGGTTGAACTCTGTAGATAACCTCTGGATCGTGGTTCAGTGTGCCAAGAAGGTTGGACTGATCTCTGTCCACCAGCGTGTTTCGAGGGGGGGTTCTCCGTGTCTCCGCGGCTGTCTTTGTAGTCCATTGGGGTGGTGGACTTGAACGTGAGCAATGAGATGCAGGCAAAGGCTGCTGCTTATCAGACTAACTTCTCCACCGTTTGGCCGGAGCTACTTTGCCGGAGGTCGGAGTGCCGAGGACTTACTATATCGGGGACATGAGAGGGTTGAGCAAGATATGCCGCGGCGGGAGAGAGTGTCGAGATACAGCGAAGATCATGTGGACAAGTATTTGGAGGTCTATACAAGGCCTTTAATATGGAATCAGAAAGACGGCTTCCAGAATACCAGAGACCCCGGACCCGGTTGTCACACCACCTGGGCGACAGGTCGAAACGCGAGATCCAGAGTTACACCAGGAAGATCCTTTAGATTGAGGAACATGTCAGACCACCGGTCCACCGATGGTAACGGCGGGGAGTAACATCGTCGGTTCGCTAGACCACGTCAGATTCATAGCGCGAATAGCAGCCGGCACATTGATGTTGGAGAAGCTGTGGGCAGTAGCTGGCGACCAGTCGATGACGTAAGAGAGAGTTTTGTCGCTTTGCTGCGGTAGAGGGCGCAGGGCGGCCATGGCAAGGCGAACGGGGTGGATGCCGGAAGTGTCGGACATTGGTTTCTGGAGGCGGCAGCGTCGAGGTCCGGTGGGCGGCCATCCGAGTCTGCTGGAGTCTGGTTCGGAGCCGGGTATCACGACATAAAGTAAAGGCCTTTGAAGAAGAGTTGACTCTGGGCAAATGTTTCGCTCACGAGACGAAGACGGCGGACCCTGAGAACGGTTCTGTTGGAAAAAAGGCCTGGGTCGTTCGAGACAGGAACCAGTTCCGGACACAGACGTAACATACCGTAGAAACTCGAGCAACTCGAACTTGCGCTAGCCCGTGCCAGCCCTGCTAGCGCTCTGGCAGAATCGTAATACTGCCTAAAGTGGTTAAATGCGGCCGCTACCTATTTTTGGCGTAGGTTAACATTTTGATCGATCTGACTAATAAGAGCTCGCCATCGAGGCCGGACCTATAATTAATATAATTCAATAATTATTTTAGCTTTTTCGTCGGTTTTAAGCTTTTTTTATTAAATTAGTAAAAAGGGTAAAAGTGTTAATTAGAAATAGTTATACGTAAGTAACCGAGCCCCTAATTATCCCCTAGCCTACTACCTCTAACGGGCCCTTATTTATATAGCGGTTAGACTATCGGGTCGACGAACTACCTATTAATACTATTACGGACTTCTTTTATTATGAAAATATATTTTAACCCGTTATTTAGAATAGCGAAGTCTAGAATCTCTTTTTATAATATCTCTTATTTAATATAGGCTTTTATATTAAAAAGCTCCTACTTAATATAATCGATGGCCTTGGCGGGTACGTCTTTAATCTAGATCTCGTCGACCTAGCTATTATTAGGCCGAATAAATATTCCGCACTATAGGAAGGCCTGGTTGATTATTAAGCCCTTCTTATAGGCTAATTTAGTAGCTGCCGTCTCGACTGTTTTAGTGACTATTATTCTCTTTATACCCGTCTCCTACTTGAGCTCCTTTTATTTATTTAGCGCTTTTTCTTCTTCGTTAAGTATATAAACGTCGGTTGTTTTTAAAAGCTATTATTTAAAGGGCTTATTGACTGCGGTATTAAGAGGTTGGAGGAGGGAAGTGGTCCTTAGCGGTATGAGGTAGGGTATAATATGGTGCTAATATAATAATATAAGGATGGAATCTATCTTATAGAAGGAAGCGATATCTATTATTAATAGGTACTTGTCTCCCTTAGTTAGCGTTATTAATTCCTCTTTAATCTATCTTTTGAATAAGTACTTATTATTGTAGGTAATCTTGTTAAACTTAACTATTATTCCTTTTATGTATAATAGGCCCTCTTTTTTTTATAATTAACCTCCTTCTTTTACGGGCTTATTGTAGAATATTATTTTTGGTTTAATTTATTATATATCGTCGGTAAAAATATAAAGTATTAATATGGCCTGCCGTTTACCCTAACCGTTATGGTCGCTCTTACTAACTACGGTTTTAGTCTTAACGTCGTTATATATATAACCGTTTAAGTATTTAAAAGGAACTAGGGTCTCGTCGAAGTTAAGAATTTATAAGTTAAGAAATCGACGGGCTAGATTTCTAAATAAATCTCTGATATTAGACCGCTTTACCTTAGCTAGGGCTATTTGATTA